CTCAACGCCCATTCAATGACCTTCCTCGGTACTCGATCAAAAGCTTTTTCTATACTCAGACTCAGCCTCTCCTGTCATGTTCCTTTTCCACACCCCAAACCTCTCTTTCATGACCTCCAAAACCCTTCTTATATCTTCATCCCACCACCACGTCTCACCATGCCTACACTTTTCTTTCGTCCATCCACATACTTTATCTGCCGTAGCCAACACACAGTCCCTATATCTCTCCCAAACATCTTCATCCTTACCACTCTCTCAACTTTCAGCCACCTTCACTTCAAATGCCTTCCTCACCTCTGCATCCTGTAACTTCCTTGTCTTTCTCTTTGCCACAAACTTATCCTTCTTCCTCCTCCCCATTTCTTTTGATGCCACATCTATCACAACCATACTATGCTGCAACATACCAGGTATCGCCTTCACATTTCCTCATTCCGTTCACCATATCCCCATCCCCCATGTACACTTTCATATCCGTCTGCATCCGCCCCCACATGACCATTCAAATCACCCAACAACACTACAAACTCATCCAACCCCGCTTGCCCAATCTCGTCAAAAACATCATCATAAAATCTATCCTTCTCCCCTTCCTTCCTACTCTGTTGCGGAGCATATCCTGATATTACCCTCACTATTACTTTTCCAAACACCATCACCACCACAATTACACCATTGCTCTTCCGCCTCACTTCCAACAACTTCTCCACCAACTCTTCTCTTACCATCACACCAACTCCTCCCGTACCATCATCCCCCTTCCACCACAACTTATGCCTTCCACCTTTAGACCCCACAAACCTTGTACCCTCTCCCTTCCATCTGATCCTCTGTAATGCAGCCACGTCAACCATTTTTTTCTGCAACTCCTCAACCACTTCCAAACTCCTTCCTGTCGGCGTGCCTACATTCCAGGTACCAAACCTCCAACACCTTGGTCTACAAGTAATCCTTCCATTCATAGTGCCCTGCACCGCCACACTATAGAGTGGGGTGCCAGTAGCCAGACCATTCACAGTGCCTTGCACCACAACCTCATGGACTGGGTCTTCGGGGATTCTTCGCACCCTCTCCTGCCGGATACTGACGGTCACTTCTGTCATCATAAATATTTTATTGGCTAATTTTTACGCAGGATGCCCTTCCTTACGCAACCACAGTTATAAGCGGTGGGCCTAGACTTTGATGATCCAACGTCACTCAGAAGGAAGTTAGGGTTAGGGTTAGTTCCTGTGGTATGCATTTATCATTATTATTGACTTTGCTAATTTTACTATTTTCATCATTGTTATTATAGACTTTGTTAATTTTACTATTTTCTTTATTAATTGATATGATTTCTTTGTTCTCGTCATTTACTTTGGTACCATGTTTTATTGCTGTTGTCAAATGTCAAATTGCTTCAGTGTTGTTTTTTATCTTTGGTCGATGTTGCTTTCTTCAGTGTCCTCATCGGTATGATTATTGTTATTATTATATTTTATTATTGTCCTTGTTGGGAGTACTGTTGAAATCTTTTGTTGCTTGTTTATCAGGGTTTGTTTTATGTCGACGAGAATGGCTTCTGCTAATTCTAGATGAGAATGGCTGGAATTACAGTATATTATTTTGGTGTTGTTGTCCAGAATTTTTCTTGTTGTTTCAATATTGTGCGTTCTATATGTGTTTCTATAGAACCTTCCCTTTTGTGCATGGTCAGACGTCTAGTTAGCGATGATATAGTTTTCCGATATATGAAACATTCTGACGTGCACAGCCGTCAAGGGGACATGTAAATTTATATATCAAATGACTATGTTTTAAAGCCGAACCATGCTGAGAAGTGCAGTTGTTCATGACAAGGTTTGACGTCTTTGCATTTTTATAATAAATTCGTAGTTTTATTTTGTCCGAAGGGTTAATTGGTTTAACATTTTTATAAATAATTTGTTTTAAGACGGATTCTTCAGTTTTGTACATGGTGTTCATATGATTCCTATAATAAAAGATGATGTCAGTGTTTGGATTATTATGTTGTGGGCTGCTGAGTTGATGTAATATATTTTTAATTATATCCTCGATCATTACTGTCCAGTATCTATTGTTTAGCAAGAGATTCGTAATTTTTAATTCTGCATCACGTTTTGAGTGGGTGAAGGCGCGGGTGACAAATGCTCTTGTACTAATTTTAAATTGCTCAGTGCATTCACTTTGTCCATTAAGGCAAATACCTTTATTTGTAGTTTTTACATAGACTGCAGTTTCAAAGCTATGTTCATTGCATGTGTTAATTGATTTTTCGAATCAGTCCGTTCAGTTTTGCCTTGAGTTCGGTAGTAGGATCTGATTTTATTTCTTTAAGTTTAGTTTTATCGTTGAGAATTGTGTTCAGTTTGTCCAGATATTTTCTTTTGTCAAGTACCACAAATTAAGAGAATTTGTCTGCACGTCTCTCATTAACATCATTATTCTCTTTTAATTGCTTAGCGGCAGCTTTCAAATCACCGTTCATTAACTTGCTAAGAAATTTGCCTTGTTGCTTCTTAGCTTCAGCCTGCAGATCAATTGCTATTGAAGGATTGTTTATTGACCTTCTAATATATTTGTTCATATGTAATATTGGTGGGTGTGGGCACCATAATTCCGAATATATTGGTATGACGACGACCAAGTTATCGAGAAGACTCACGATGCACGTACAAACTGCCGCTATAAAGAATCACATGAAAGAGAAACACAAAACTTAAATTACTAGACAAATCTTGGACCACAATGTTAAAATCTTACATTACAATAACAACCATTATAATTTACGACTAGCCGAATCAATACTCATAGAATAAAGACATCCGATAATAAATATTCAACAACGGGCAATTGAAATTCTTCCTATTAATAAATTTAGAAGCTGAGGAATCATCGATAATGAAAACACGTAAAAGTATTATATTGGATGAAGTTGAAAATTGCAAAACTTATTGAATGAGCGTTAAGTATTCACTTTGAACAACAAGGAATCAACAAAGCAGAATAGAGCACACACACAACATATCAATATGAACACCGATCAAATGTTAGAAAAATTGAAAAGTTAAAAGGAAGTTAACTAACGCCGAACATGCTGTGATTTTCATCAATAATTGCATTTCTGACAGTCTTAATCCAATATATACATATATATATATAAATTATAATAGTAATAACCTTATTCGGCAGGCTACTGACAAGTCTCGTGAGAGACGAAACGTAAGTCTGGCCTATGGCGGGTAATGGTTTATCGGTTTATCAATAATACCTCTTGCGACTGAATGGGTTTTTAAACCTTGTAACAACGTGATGTTGTTCTTATCTGTTGGTCGCGACACCTCAATTTGAGTTTTTTGGTTACAATAATTGAGTTGTGTTATCTTAAACCTTATTCGGCAGGCTACTGACGAGTCTCGTGAGAGACGAAACGTACGTCTGGCCTATGGCGGCTAATGGTTTACCAATAATATACACGTTTAAAGGAGCTCAACCCAAGGGGGCAGAGGCGCCCAGTGTTTGTTCAAGGGTTTGCTGACGAAAACCCCGAGTTGGCATTGTCGCATAATCACGCACATATAACATTTTACGTGTTTTCATTATCAGAGGTATAATCTAGGAAAAATTTTGGTTTCGAACTAAAGAAACTCGAAAAGTTAAATTGGAAGTTGACTAACGCCGAACATGCTGTGATTTTCATCAATATACGAACAATAGGCTTCTCTGCCTCCTTGGGTTGAGCGCCTTTAAACGTGTATGATGATGATGATGATATATATCAATATATAGCTAAAAAATGAAAAATCGGTTTAGCTGCTCACGAGTTTATTGCGTTTTATTAATGACGCGTCTGTTTTCTATAGATTATTATATTGGTAATTCAACATTTGGATAACACACAGGAACGGATATGTGAGGAAAGTGCATCATTTGATTTGTCAAGTGCTGATATTGCTTCTGCCATTTCAGATGTCAATCGAATCATTAATAAGGTTCAGGAATGGCAGTCAAATGATATCGATTCAAGTTATGATCCTGACCCTAGTACAAGTGTGTTGTTATTTTTTTGACTAGAAAGGAAATAAATTGAATGTAGATCAATATTTATAAAATTATTTATTTTTTTCTTAATATTCACTCCTAATAATAAGAATAATTTACATAACTATACGAAAAAATTGTCTAAAACAGTACATTGCAGATAAAAAATTAACGACTAAGCAGACCTTTATGTTAGTAAACTATTAACTAGAGATGCATCGGATTTAGGTTTTTCAAATCCGGCCGAGGCCGGACTTGGCTGGATTTAAAATTTAAAAACCGGTGGTTATCTACATGTTGAACATCAAAAAATAACACTAGCAAATAATTAATTAATTCAAATATATGAATAAGCTGTGTGATACGCCAAATACGTTCTAGTTACATTTATATATGTATAAGCGCACATCATTTCATTTATATGAAACACGAAATTTATGTGAACGCGCTATAATTAAACACATGACAACATCATTATAATATGCTCAGAGCTAATAAACATGAAATCCACACGTGAACTATTCTAGCGCGCACGCTGCTTAACCATGCTATACAGATAAAAGTACTCAGTCAATAATTTATGCATAAAACTTACGGCACAAAAAAATGTGCATACCAATAAAAGATGATATTGTTATGTATCATGTATTGATGCGTGCGCGTATATCTTCCATACTTATTAATAGTTGAGTTTCCAATACCCAATAAGTTAATGATAGAAAACCAGATATAATATGATATTATAAAGTGTTGATTGTTTTTTATTGAAAAAATCCCAGTGTACAAAAAAAAGTTTTTTATTACACATGCCTAATCTTTAACATAGAATGTTCTTAAATTATGCGCCTATGTAGCTATATGTATATATATATGCACACTTATGCGCACTTGTGGTCATTCGAAAATCACATAGTATGTATATTCATAAACATGTAAATAATTGTTTTTATTGTTATAATTCTAATTCAATATTATTATTGTTTTGATACATTTTAGAGGTTTTGGACTTTATTTTGTTTGGTATTTGTTTGGTTCATAAATTTGCTTTTTTTGAGAAAATTTGGTTTTTCATGTTTAAAAATTTGCAAAATGAAAAAAGGGAAACGAGGAGGAAAAACGTGGAGATGAGTTAAAAAATATGGAATGGGAATATTAGGGAACGTTTTCATAAATGGGAATTCGGTAGGGAATCGGGAATGACAAACAAAAATGAGAGTGAATTGGAAAAAACTTTAATTCTCGCTCACCTCTACTTTAGTAGTTCAGAAATATTAATTTTGAACTAACTGAATAGATCGAACCACTTTCTGATTGATAGAGTCGGGCAAGGGTTTACAACAGTCTATACGTGTCAAAATGACGGCCACAACCAGTCACTGAATCACATTATGAGTCAAATATTTGTTAATTTCAAATTCCTAAAATGAAAAACATAAAATTTAATAATATACGGACCAAACAATTTTAAAGATGATTACACTCGAATTTCTATCAAAAGACTCTTTTATAACTGATCCTAACACATTCATAACCATATCAATGAAAATTAAGTTGACAGAATATTAGGTGAAATAAATGAAATGAAGATTTAAATTCCGAAAAACTATATGGTGGTTTTAAAGAATGAATTTAAGTTGAAAAGTTGGAAAAGAAGAAAATGACACGAGAAAATGATGTCTAATGATTATCGATGTATTAAAGATGCTAGATCTTACAACACTAGTGTAGCAGCATATGGGAATTGTCTAAAGTGTTGTAAAGAGATAAAAACTGACAGGTTAAATGAATGAATGTAAAACTTTTGAAACAGATGCGAGAAATGCATTTGACTAATCGAAATTACCTCGAAAATTTATTTGAAAAGCTAAGAACAAAAACTGTTGGTAAAAAGAGAAAAAACGGATGTGTTTAATGTAGATTATACAAAATATAGCAAAGGAAACATTTATTTAGATTCGGGAAGGTCTGAAAAGATATGGAAGAAATATATGAAAATATCTATTGAGTGATGAAACGAGAATCTGTTATTGAACCCAGAAAAGGAGAAGACCTAACTAAGCTTGCCTTATAAAGTATTGTTGAAAGACACTTGACCATTTTAATCTAATTTTGTTGGCAAATTTTTCTATTATCTTTTTAATTTAATTGATTAATTGTTCATATAATCTTGTAATTTTAATTGATTAATTAATTTTTTTCCAATTTTTTTTAGTTTCCGACTACAACATTAATGAAGTTGCTGATTATAAAAGTTAGTCAATTGATCACAAATTATTAAACAATTTTTTTTCTTTGCTTCGAATAACAAAACTAAAGTAATGAGTAAGTGATGGTTCCTGGACGATTTTTTAAATTTTAGACGTATTATCGATTGTAATTTTGAAAATGATTTTAAACATAATTAATACATATTTTCAGACAAATTTAAACACAATTTATAAACTTGCGAATAATCTAAGAAAAATTATTATTTGTATCATAGATTCTTGCCACTCTGAGTTCCATTATAGTGAGATAAGCATCTTTTATTTCTCATTGACATGTTATAATAAAATTGCTTCACTTTAACAGTTGTTTTTCTAATCAGTAGAATGTTGACCTCAAATTGGATACGCTCGGGAAAGAGCACTACGGAGCTACCTTTTTAGATTCGTTATTAACAAGCCTAAGTAGTTTTGCTCTTCTTGATGTTTGGCTTCAAGTTTGACGCTGGAACTTAAAAATATCTTACGTAAGTTATCAATGTGTTGATTATAAGTCTCTCCTACCAAGTGAAATCCAGTAACACACCATTTGCTGTTTGAATATTTCTACAGCGTTGCACAACCCAAATGGCATTACAATGAATTGCCGCAAGCTAATATGATTGAAAATCCGGTTTTTTTGGTCGTTCTTTACGATCTCCACTTTGCTGGATTAGCTTATTTGGGCGGCGTGTTAACGTAATGGTTAAAAGCGTAACCCTAACCCTAACGCTTTTAACCCAGTGCTCGAATGCAAATAGATCCCAGCCTATCATATTCACTGTGTAATGCATGGCTTTCACGTGTATTCATAATGCGTCGTGTGTGTTGTCGTTGAAACTTCTGAAGCATGTGCACAAAAGAGATTGACCTTTTAATAACTGGAGTCTTGAGTATCATTTCAATGGGTAACAAGGACAGTTTTTCTTTGGTCGGTGTCGCTGATGAAAAAATACATCTGCAAATTTTAAGCTCAAGTTTTCAGATGGTCTCTTTGCTGATTGAGGCTCATTATGTAGGCTTTTTTAAGCTTTTGCATGTAGGCTTTTTTAAGATTTGCATGCTATCTTTATCAGCTGACCACTAATTACTGTTTTTTCCGCATCCAAACATTTTGCTATATTCAGACGACTCGCTATTACTAATTACGTTTAATATTATAACCCGAATAAGTCTATTTTTGTTGGCTTTTACGGCTGGCCCATACGTTATTTTTGGATGGTTTTAGTATTTTAGTATCACCGGTCATTTCACTTTGCTGTTCCCCATTACTAACTTTGTATTTTTGTTTTACAGTTGACACTGTTGATTATGCCATTCTTCTCTCTCGCCCTTTTCATATTTTTTGGCTCATTGTCTAGTCTTGTACCAGTAGCATTTATTTTTAACTGAGCAGTATCAGATTCCAGAGTCAGGTGATACTGGTGAAGTTCCAGTAATATCGACGAGATTTGCAACACGTATCTCAATGAATTGTCTGGCTATTGTCAAATAGATTTAAGCTCAAACATGATAAAACGAAACTAATCGGGTTTGATTCTTGTCATGCTATTGCTTCGGTGTCTGCGATGAATTGTGAATTTGTCCCGGCTCACTCGATAAGAAATCTAGAGTATTCTGATCAGGAGCTAACAGACTCTGATATGCTACTATTGTTTCTGGGTTCCTTAGAGATATGTTTTGCACTATGTCATAATTGGATTATTGTAATGGTTTGTTGTTAGGTGCAAATACAGAGGTGTTGTACAGGTTGCAGTTGATTCAGAATGTTGCTGTAATGTTGATAATTGATGTTTGTAGATGGGAACATATATCTCGCCATTGTGGTTTGCATTTGTTGCCGGTAGAATAACGAGTTGTATTCAAGATAGTAATGTTGGCGTTCAGATATGGAAGAAGTAAAATATTAGATTACTTTGTAGAGGTTAAAGATGTATCATCAAGATCCCGCCTCAAATCAGCAGCGAATGAAATCGTGCTAGTTTCAAGAATGCGAACATCAGTTGAATAAAGAAGCTTAACAGTGTCGGCACTGGCAGATTAAAACTTATTGCTAGTCTAGCAAAGTGGGGCTACTTCAATAGAGTGTTCAGGAAATGGCTGACGACATAAATAATAAATAATACAAAATAATTATTTTTATTATTAAAAGTTTCAGTAATAATAATAGTGATAATAATTTGAGTAGTTTGTCAGCGGCCATACTGGAATCGGCGTCCTACTCATTTAAAGTATCGAAATGAAATTTTATAGGATATTCGGTGCTCATTCAAGTCTTCATGAGCGCCTTTTTCTACAGATGCGCTTCAAATTTTTTTTTTCTAAAAACAGTCTGTTCAATTTCATTCATCTTCAGTTCCATTGGCAATTTATTCCACATCATTGGGCCATACACCGAGAAACTTCTTGAAGCCGTTGATAATTTCTTTGGTACCTGAAAATCATTGTCCCTTTAGGACCTCAAAATTCTCCCACCTTCGATCACTAAAGTTTTCTTGTACAAATCCATCAGGTATTTCGATACCGCACCTTTGACACATCTTTTCATCATCACTAAAACTTTGAAATCAGTTCTGCTCTCAATTGGCAGCCAATGTAATTCGTGGGGTCATATTTCTTTATTTGTCCTATAATGCGCGTTATGAAACGCTGCCTTCTCATGTAGACAGAAGTTTTGCGTCTGAAGCTTTTCATTTAACTCAAAAACTCAAGTTTAAAAAAGGTGCGAAGACGATTTAATAAATTGATGATTTAAATAAATTTTATGTTGATATAAAGCTGGACGAAATTTTTTTTTAAAAAGTTGATTTTCTGTTGCTGCACTCACTATTTTAGGTATAGTGCCACCAATTTGGAATTATTATTGTTTTAAGTTTTACAGTTTACATTATCTTTAATATTAATTACTTTATCCTATTTAAGAAATACTTTTGAATCTAGAAGAAAAGCTTGATTCTTTCATAGTTGGAGATGATGGAATGACATTGAATGGCTGGTTGGTCTGATGTTTATTTTATTGTATCCAAACATTCATAAGATATTAAATTACAGTAGAGTCTCTCTATAACGAATTTGATGGTTCCATGAAAAAAATTCGTTATATAGAAATTTCGTTATATAGAATTTGTTCGTGTTTATCAAAGCATCTGGTACTGCAGGTATCCAAACGTTACTACAACTTTGCCGTGAAGTGTGGAGAAATTGCTCAATGCCGACTGATTGGAACTATAGTATGATAGTTCTGCTATACAAAGGCAAAGGTGATCCATTGAACTGTTCATCATATCGAGGTATACGTCTGTTAGAACACTCCCTGAAAATGGTCGAGAAAATCATTGAGAGAAGATTAACGTCGTGCATCACAATCGGAAATTATCAATTTGGTTTCCTAGCGGGGAAATCAACAATTGATGCAATTCACATCCTTCGGCAACTGCAAAAGAAGTACCTCGCAAAGCATCAACAGCTAACACACATTTTTATAGACCTTGAAAAAGCATTTGATCGAGTTCCCCGTGAAGCAATCAGATAGAGTCTACGTCGACAACTCATTCCAGAATATCTTGTTCGACTTGTGATGGAAATGTGTACGAATACTAAGACTTTCGTCAGCACAACTGTTGGAAACACAGATTCATATGACATCGGTGTTGGAGTTCACCAAGGCTCGATTCTCAGTCAACAGCTATTTATAACTGTGATGGAAGAAATCACAAAACCGATACGCACTGGTGACATTTGGAATCTATTATATGCTGATGATATCTCTTTAACAGCCACGTCTGAGCAGAATGCAGCTCAGATGTTTGAAGATTGGAACACTAAACTCGCCGATCATGGATTCAAAGTCAACATCAGCAAAATCAAAGCAATGAACACTGGTGAACCCATCCAATCCACAGCTACTGGACGATGGCCCTGTTCAGTTTGTAAAACTGGTGTAGGTAACAATTCAGTCAAGTGTCAGCAGTGTAACCACTGGTGTCACAAACGTTGTTCAAAAATAATTGGTACTTTATCTAAAGTGTCCAATTTTGTTTATCCTGCTTGCATCAATCCACAACAACAAATTCGAAATAGCACTGTCTTTGAAGCCATTAAAATAGAGAAAGTCACATCGTTTCAATATCTAGGGGATGTTCTGGATTGTACTGGAACAGCTGAAGCTGCCGTTCGAGCACGCATACGTGCAGCCTGGAATAAATGGCATCTCCTTGCCTCTATATTGATGCGGCGTGACATCCCACTACCACTACGATCAAGACTTTAAAAATCTGTGATACGTCCTGTGTTGTTATATGGTGCAGAAACATGGCCAATGACAACCAAACTGGAACAACAACTTCAACGAACCGATATGAAAATGCTCCGAGGGATGCAACGAATTAGTCTGAAGGACCACATCAAATCTACCGAAATTCTGCGTCGTGCTGGTTTAGATGATATAAAGGACGAATGCCGGCAACACAGTCTGAGGTGGTTTGGTCATGTCAAACAAAGTGGAAACAGTGCCATAACTTCTCTTACCGATGTTGAAGTACCTGGCACACATGTCCCAAAGGCCGTCCAAAGAAGTCCTGGTCGCAAACAATCGAGCAAGACATGAAAGCTCTAAATTTAAATGAAATGGATACAACTGATCGTCTAATTTGGCGCAAAAAGTTGATGGCAAAGAAAACAACGTCCTACCTCGGGAAACCGGGTCTCTGAACGCAAAACGAAGATTGATTGATTGATTGATAGTACTTTATCTAAAGTGTCCAATTTTGTTTGTCCTGCTTGCATCAATCCACAACAACAAATACGAGATAGCAATGGTTTAGATGATATAAATGACGAATGCCGGCAACACCGTCTTCGGTGGTTTGGTCATGTCAAACGAAGTGGAAACAGTGCCATAACTTCTCTTGCAGATGTTGAAGTACCTGGCACACGTCCCAAAGGCCGTCCAAAGAAGTCCTGGTCGCAAACAATCGAGTAAGACATAAAAGCTCTAAATTTAAATAAAATGGATACAACTAATCGTCTAATTTGGCGCAAAAAATTGATGGCAAAGAAAACAACGTCCTACCTCGGGGAACTGGTTCTCTGGACGCTAAGCGAAGATTGATTGATTTTCTTGAAAAAATTCTATATCGCCTAAATGGTATTCATAAGCTATATATTTATGAAAAACAACCTCCTAATCATTTATTTTAATAACAGAAAGTAACAATAACAATAATACATGGTATAATATTAAAAATTGAAATTTTTAAAGTGACATTTTTTCTTTATTCCATGGAACGATGATTCCGTTTCAATTAAAATAAATTGAGGTAGAATTCGCAATAATTACTAGAATACTAGAACTTGAAACAATAAATATGGGCCTAAGATATTAAAAGAGTACAAAAACACCCCTCATATCAATTCATAGAATGTTTGCTGGTTGGATATTTTTTTACCTTTTATAAATTTCGTTTGTTATTGAAAAATTATTTTCCTTCTATAGGAACAGTTTTATATGTAAAATTTCAGGGGACATAAAAAAGTTTATTTTATAGAAGTTCGCTATAAGGACTGTATTTATCTTCATTTATATTGAAATTTGTAAATTCGGTTTAGCACACGATATTTTTAAATTAGTTTATATAGAAGCGCAGACTGAATGCTTTTTTTAGGCAGCACATTTGTATTGTTTTTATTCTCCAAAGTTTTTCACTTGCATTCACACCAATTTCAATTTCATTTCCAATCAAATGACATCAAAATCACATCCCTTCATGCACGTATCTTCACAGCACTGCTTTTTTCTTTATTCGTGAATATCATGCTGCGCCTCTAATTCTAGAACATGTACTGCTGAGATCTTTTAAATTTTTCGATGGTTTTTCTTCTTTATATAACTTTGACATTTAGTAAGCCTAAAAATTGTATTTATTAGAAAGTAACTATTAAGATATTGATTGTATCTGTTTTCGCTAGTTTGTATAGACTTAATTTAGTTAGATATGTATTTCAACAATAACATAAACGAGTGTTGAAGATATCTTTAATGCATAAAATGCGTTTGACAGCATAAGTTATGTCGAGCGGCGAAATCGGATTATACTCATTTTTGGTATGGCTCTATAAAAAAATGGATCAAATTGTAGAGGCACATGTATACATTATATATTATAATACTTGCTTTTATTATTTTTTTAATTGAATTAAATGTTTTTATTTTAAAATTTGTTTTATTGTGAATTTATGTTTAAATTATTTTTTAAAATTAACAAATTAATAAATCCTACAATTTCAGTGCTATTTTCGAAATTTTAAATGAATCCGGTCTTACGTTTGATAAGAAAAGTATTTTTTGTGAATTAACTGAGAAAATGATATCAACACTTACTGTTGACTGTAAGTAAATCATTTCATTGTTTCATTGAACATATGATGTTTTTTATTTTTATAAATTGTTTAAAATTTTTTTCTATCAAGTTTTGTTGATTAGTTTCAGTAAAAAATTTGATGAAAATGAAAGGATGACGGAGTAGTGTACTTTGTGTAATGTGACCTTTAAAAATAACAAAATTTTGGCATAGTATATAGATGTGCACTAGGAAGTATGAAAATTGAACAAACGAATGAAGAATTATATATGCCGTGGAAAAATTTGCTTCATTAATGGTTGCTAGGAGAATAATTTTAATTGCATATACTAAACCTGATGGGAACTGAGTTGAAAGATCTGGAAAATGTACCAGATACATAGCAAAGGCAATCAATTATTACTGCAGTTATCACAGAAGCATCAGTAGGATATCTTAACAGGGCCGGCTATTTAGTTCAATCTTGCATTGTAATTGCGTGATAACCTGTTTCAAATACTGTCTGTACGAAGTGTGTACGATGCGTTGCTTGCGTACATGCAAAAATGTGCATATACATCTTTTTGTGTAAATGTGGCACAAAAGTTTAGCTATATTTAATACAGGGATATGCTAAAGCTGTGTAATAAAAAACAAAAAATACTAATATAAAATTTATCGCACTTTTAAAATTACTTTTATATTTTTAATGAACCGTTTGATTAATAAATGTTTTGACAGTAAAGTCTTCAATCTTCACAAACAATGGAACTGGATTATCAAAGCTTTCCGATGTTCTTAAGGTGAGTCAAAATTTCTAACATGTTTTATTTATGGTTTTTTTAATTTTTTTACTATTTTCTTGACTTTGACATTTAGGAATATTTAATATTAATCGAGAAGTGCTTTAACTGCTGATTTATTTTTTTAAGCTTTTTCATTCATTTAACTTATGTTACTTTATTATATTTTAGTCATTTTTATTTGTTATGTAACAAACTAGTCAATATAGTTATTAGGGAAAAAAAATTCCAGAAGATTGGGAGAAAAGTATAACCCTTCCGACATACAAAGGTAAGGGGGACCTTTTAAACTGTGGATCTTATAGAGCAATCAAGCCATCGGAACATACTATAAAATTGATTGAAAGAATTAAGGACAACGTTATTATTGACGAAATGCAATTTGGTTTTTGTTCATGGAAGAGTACTATTGATGCAATTTTCATTGTTAGACAAATTCAAGAAACGTTCAGAGCCAAGAAGAAAACTTTTTATTATGCTTTTGTAAATCTGGAAAAATCTTATGATAAAGTTTCGAGGGAAGTGGTTAGGTGGGCACTTAGGAAAGGCGAGGTAAAAGAATGGTTGGTTGACACAATGACGTGTATGTATAAAGAAGCCAGGACGGCGGTAAGGATTAGCTATAGTGTAGGTAAGCGGTTTGGGGTTCAGGAAGGTTTACATCCAGGTTCGGTGCTAAGTCTCTACTTTTTATTATAGTAATGGATATTATTAGTAGAGAGATCAAATGTGGGTTATCATGGGAGATTTTAATGCTGATGACCTGCTTTTCATGGCGAAGAGTGAGAAAAACTAAAAGAAAAGCTCTCAGTGTAGTAAATACCTATGGAAAAAAGGGTTTAAAGGTAAATTTGGGTAAAACCAAAGTTATGTGAAGAGAAGAGGATTCAGATATTCTTGAACATGGCAAATTCCCCTGTGCAGTGTGTGGTAAAGGAGTCAGAGGAAATTTAATACTATTTGTAAAATGTGATGAATGGATTTATAATTGATGCAGTAGTTTGAAAAGACACTTGAACAAAAGCAAGGAATTCGTTTGTAAGCGGTGTAAATTGAAAGATACTAAGCGAAAGGGTGATGCTGGATACTTGGGAAATTTGGGGTTTGAAAGAGTGGAGCCCTTTTATTATCTAGGTAATATACTGAGTAAGGAGGGTGGATTGGATAGAGCGGTCGAGAATCGAATAAAAGTAGAATGGAAAAATATCAGAAAAAATACTTCAGTGCTGTGTTCTATTGGTATACCATTGGGCCTGAAAGGTAAGGTATATAAAGCATGGGTAAGAACTTGCCTGCTGTATGAGTGCGAAACTAGGACTATGACGGATGAAAACTTAAGAAGGCTAAGGCTGGAGAGAACAGAAATGCAGATGTTGAAAAAAATAATGGAATTATCCATGAGGAATGGTCTAAGTAATGAGGAACAACAGCAATATAGTATTTTTTAAAACTGGTAAGTCGGTAATAAATGTGCTAATCAATCAATCAATCATCGTTTAGCGTCCAGAGACCCAGTTCTCCCGAGATAGGACGTTGTTTTCTTTGCCATCAATTTTTCGCGCCAAATTAGGCGATCAGTTGTATCCATTTCATTTAAATTTAGAGCTTTTCATATCTTGCTCGATTGTTTGTGACCAGCACTTCTTTGGACGGCCTTTGGGACATGTGTGCCAGGTACTTCAACATCTGCAAGAGAAGTTATGGCACTGTTTCCACTTCGTTTGACATGACAAAACCACCTCAGACGGTGTTGCCGACATTCGTCCTTTTTATCATCTAAACCAGCACGACGCAGGATTTCGGTAGATTTGATGTGGTACTTCAGACTAATTTGTTGCATCCATCGGAGCATTTTCCTATCGGCAATAAATGTGCTACTAAATAAAAAAGATTATGGCCACAAGTCAAGCAAAGAATTTATTGACATTATATCTACAATAAAGCCGACGACAAACACCATATCTTCATCCTGGCTGATAATAACGAAAACGATATTAGAAGCATCAAAAATCTCCTGACTGAAAATTCCATCCTAACATTCACAACCGAAGATGCCAACGCCTTAACTATCTTGACATCAACATTTAACTCAATAACGATAGTTCAATGTTTAATACATTAGTTTACGTTAAAGCAACTAATGTTAATTCATGCTTGAAAGGATTTAGCGAATGTGCAGAAAGATACAAAAAAGCGTCATTGTATCCCATGTAAACTTAGCAATCGGCCACTGCAGCTCTCAGTTGCTATTGCAAAAAGAACTGAGAAGAATCTAACAGACGCTTATTGATAACGGGTATAAAAACAGAATGATAGATGGCATAACTAAAAAAACTTTTCATAAATCAAAACATTTCTATATGGGGTTCAGCTCTTAAATCTAATCTTCATGTTTTGGTCCTAGCTCAAAATTTTTTCATACGTATTCTCTTTAAATTATATATATATTTGACCGTGTTACCACTTATTTTCATCTAGTGAATATTTATAATATTTTTCAATTGTATACTAGTTATTTATTGCTTATTTTTAGTGAACTGGCTTTATTTAAAAATACTAGACGTGAATTCTTTCGACATAACCCCTATTTTCACCTTCCTAAACCTAGATATAATTTTTATCTTAACTCTGCTTTATCATATTAATGCGTCTCTGGGATACCTGCCGGTGAGTGTGAAAAACTCTCGCTCATATGGTCCCTTCAAAAAATCGATTCATCTACTCACTGTGTCTAACTATTTTAACACTTGTTGATTATTCTTATTAGCTCAGGTAACTATTATGATTTGGTTAAATTTTGTTAAATCTAATTTCCATCTAAGTTCATTTTCACAAAGTAAATATTTTCCTATATAAATCAACTTGCACTGATGATGATTCATTCGAAATCTAAATATGGCCTTATTTGCAGCATGAATTCGGAAAATAAGGTTATTTTGAATTTTAATAAATTAAACGTTCTCCAAAAAACTTTAGTAAGAAAAATCGTAAAAACGAACTACAAACGTATTAACGCCAAACATTCGGTAGAATTTATAGAATATTGTAAAAATTATGGTCTATTATCAACATATATATATATATAAGTGGAAGATATAAGTTTTGGTGGAAAAGGGATGATGGTACGGGAGGAGTTGGTGTGATGGTAAGAGATGAGTTGGTGGAGAAGGTGTTGGAAGTGAGGCGGAGAAGCAATGGTGTAATTGTGGTGGTGATGGTGTTTGGAAAAGTAATAGTGAGGGTGATATCAGGATATGCTCCGCAACAAAGTAGGAAGGAAGAGGAGAAGGATAGGTTTTATGATGATGTTTCTGACGAGATTGGGCAAGCGGGGTTGGATGAGTTTGTGGTGTTGTTGGGTGATTTGAATGGGGGGCGGATGCAGACGGATATGAAGGTGTACATGGGGGATATGGTATACGGAATGAGGAAGGGCGTAGAGTGTTGGAGTTGGCGGATGCACATAGCATGGTGGTGGGGAATACCTGGTTTACAAGGGAACCAGCGCGATTGATTACATATAGGTCAGGGGAGCATAGGTCAATGATAGACTATATATTGGTAAGGGCCAAACATAGGAAGTATGTGAAGAATGTGAAGGCGATACTTGGTATGCTGCAGCATAGTATGGTTGTGATGGATGTGACATCAAAAGAAATGGGGAGGAGGAAGAAGGATAAGTTTGTGGCAAAGAGAAAGACATGGAAGTTACAGGATGCAGAGGTGAGGAAGGCATTTGAAGTGAAGGTGGCTGAAAATTGGAAGAGTGGTAAGGATGGAGATGTTTGGGAGAGATACAGGGACTGTGTGTTGGCTACGGCAGATAAAGTATGTGGATGGACGAAAGGAAAGTGTAGGCATGGTGAGACGTGGTGGTGGGATGAAGATATAAGAAGGGTTTTGGAGGTCAAGAAGGAGAGGTTTAAGGTATGGAGAAGGGACATGACGGAGGAAGCGGAGACTGAGTATAGGAAGGCTAAGAAGGTTGCAAAACAGGCAGTGGCAACTGCAATGACGAAAGCATCAGATAGGTTAATGAAGGAAATGGAATTTGATGTGAGTTCGAGGAAAATGTTCAAAGTAGCAAAGCAGTCAATGAGGGATAGGAAAGATGTTATAGGGAATGGATGTGTTTGGGATGGATCTGGCAAGTTGTGCATAGATGAGGAAAAAGCTCAGGTGTGTAAAGCTCATATGGAAAGGTTGATGAATGAAGAGAATGAGTGGGATGGAGATGTGGAATCCGCGGTCATACACGGACCTATAGAGAAGATGACGATGGAGGAAGTAGAGAAAGCAGTTAGAGAAATGAAACTAGGTAAGGCGACAGGGGTTTCGGAAGTGGCGGCAGAACATATAAAAGCGAGTGGGGTGATAGGAATTGAAGTTATGATGAGAATTGCTAACAGTATGTTTGATGATGAAGGTATACCTGAGGATTGGCGACACAGTGTGTTGGTGCCGTTGTATAAGGGCAAAGAAGATGTGAGAGATTGTGGGTCATATAGGGGCGTGAAATTGCTAGAGTATGAAATGAAGGTAGTGGAGAAGGTGCTTGAGAGAAGGTTGAGAAATATGGTGACAGTTAGTGTGAAGTGGGTTTATTCCTGGTAGGGGAACGGTGGATGCGTTGTTCATGGTGAGAATGTTGCAGGAGAATTATAGAAAGAAGAAACGAAGATTGTACATGTGTTTTGTGAATCTAGAAAAGGCTTTTGATCGAGTACCGAGGAAGGTCATTGAATGGGCGTTGAGGAAGAAAGGAGTGAATGAGGGACTTGTTAAAGCTGTGATGCAGCTGTATGAAGGGGCAAAGACAAAGGTGAGGGTTGGAAGGGGGATGTCGGACGCTTTTAGTGTTAAGGTAGGAGTGCATCAAGGATCAGTGTTATCACCGTTTCTGTTTGCAATTGTGATGGATGTTGTGTGTGGAAACATAATGGAGGGGTTGTTATTTGAGATTTTGTATGCAGATGATTTAGTCTTGATGGCTGATAGCATGGAAGAATTGCAGTTAAAATTTGACAGATGGAAAAGTGTTATTGAAAAGAAAGGGTTAAAAGTTAATATTGGTAAGACGAAGATAATGGTGAGTGGGGAAGCGAGTGATAAGTAAAACAGACCCCTGTGGGGTTTGTGACAGGAGAGTGAAGGCTAACTCGGTATTGTGTATAGGATGTCAGAAATGGGTGCATAAGAGATGTAGTGGTGTGAGGGGGGCACTGAAAAAGGTGGAAGGCACGTTCAAATGTAAGAAATGTGTTCATGGTGTGATTAATAGGACGGACGCAAGGACGGGGATGAGTGGTGGTATTGAAAGAGTGGAAAGCTTTGTTTACTTAGGGGATAAGCTGAACGCGGATGGAGGATGTTTGAGCGCAGTTACGGCTAGAGTTCGTGTGGGATGGATGAAATTTAGGGAACTTGGTTGGGTATTGTGTGGAAGGGAAAGAAATGGTCAGTGAAGATGAAAGGGAGGGTATATAAAGCATGTGTGAGAGCAGCGATGGTATATGGTGGTGAAACTTGGGTGTTGAGGAGAGAGGAAGAAAGTGTACTGCAGAGGGCTGAAAGAGCTATGGTGAGGATGATGTGTGGGGTTAAAGTGAAGGATAGGAGGAGTAGTACAGAGCTGATGTCGATGATGTGACTGAATGAGGACATTGTGACATTGATAAGGAGATCGAGATTGCGATGGTATGGGCATGTGTTGAGAAGGGATGAAAGGGTCGGGATTAGGCAAGCGTTGGAGTTCGAGGTTGAAGGAGTGGTAGGAAGGGGTCGTCCGCGATTGGGATGGAGAGAGCAGGTGGAGAAGGACAAAGTGAAAGCGGGGTTGCGTGATACTGAGGCGAGTGACAGATGTGGATGGCGTCGAGGGATATTTCGGTTTCATCATAGGTAGCCAAACGGCAACCCCTGATCTCGGGAAAAATGTCGTCTAAACGTGTGTTGTTATATATATATATATATATATATTATTGATGAAAAATTTAATTTTTCCATTTTTCTAACCAATGATCGTAATCATTTTCAAGTTTCTTTAGTTCAAAACCAAAATTTTTGTTTATGTTTTGTTCATCGATAATTAAAACACGCAAAGTGTTATATTTGTCCAAAATGAAAACACGTGAAAGTGTTTATTTTACGATGTTGAATAATTGTAAAACTAAATATTCACTTTGAATAAACAAGGAACCAATAAATATGCACATTATAAAAATATTTGATCATCTGGGCACAACCACAACATATCAATTTGAACACCGAAGATTGTATAGGAATACTGAAAAATGTTTTTCTGTTCTATCATGCATAAAATAAACAAAAATTTTTGTTTTGAACTAAAGAAACTTGAAAATGATTTACAATCAACCGTTAGAAAAATCGAAAAGTATATATATATTTATAAATTTATATATATAAAAAATTGCAGAAGCAGTCCTAATTGACATCAATAACCCAATGAATGTTATGTATAGTATATATATATTATATATATCGTAAACTTTCAAAAGCTAAAACTTCGGTCAATTTTATCAAATACTGCTTATTTATATATATTGAAAAATGAAAAGACAATCTTTAAATTGATTAATGCCAACAGTTCGATAGAAATTATATAATACTGTTTTTATATATTCAAATATAGGTTAATTGGCTATTCAATAAATTACAGATTGTTTACTCAAAAGAACCTTCAGAGAATATGAATTTTAATCAACACATCGATAAAGTTGCTCAGCATTTCAAGGTAAATAATTGAAGCAACCTTTTCATGAAAAATGCAAATTTCAATTTTAATATTTGATTTTCAAGGTACATATAAAGAATAGTATAATAAAAAAAACAGAAAAGTCTGATGCCTGGAGTTTAAAGTCAGGTCAATCAGCAGTATCAGGTTTATTTTATTGTTTATATTACTATTATTATTTACTTTATTCTACTTATTTTATATTTTCGTTGTTTTAATTTCAAGTTATCTCATGTTTTTTTAGATAAGTAAATTCTGTTAAATTTCGATCTAGCTTTCAAAATTAAATAACAAATTTCAGTTTAACCTAGTTTTTGTGCATGAAAAATTTTAAGATTTTTAAGACGAGCTAGGTCATGGAACGAATATTATGATGATAAACATTTCAACAAGTATATTCAATGCAAGGGTTTATATTAACTCGAATTACAGTGAAAATTAAAATAGCAAGACGCCATGCTATCAACGAATAATTCTGGTTTCAAGCGTTTCAAGGATTTTAATGATTCATATGAGCCTTGAAACAATTATGGATTAATTATTAAAAAATCTACGTAGTGGATGTGATTAATATTTTTTTTGATTCTATGCAATCATTATATGATGGCTTGTTAGCCCTTGCTGAAAATTTATTTTTACGTTCTGTTGCTCGTTCTATAATTTGTTATGGCACAAAAGATTAAAATAACTGAGCATATTGTTTTAACGTACGCGTTTCTTTAGTTATGCATTATTAAAAATTATAATTCTCGAGCAATTTTCATTTAGCACTCTTTTAGTCGTTGTTTCGTAGCATTCTTATCGCAACAAGTAAGCTATTTAACCTGAAAAGAATGAAGTTTTCTGAGCAGTGGTTGGTTAATAAAAAATTGATATAACACCATTTTCGAAAATAATATATTAGTTAAAAATGAACAAGGAGATAAGTGAAGATTATTTGGATACGATAAAATATTGAATACAAAGGGTAAAGTTGACATTGACATCGATGATAAAAATGGATAGTTAAGAGTTTACATTTCTGGAACGTGCTCTCAGGTGCTGCCAGGAGGGTACCTTCATCAGAGATACTCTCGATTGGTTGCGATCTCAACGGTCACGTTGGAGAGAAAACTAATGGGTTCTGTGGTGTGCACTAAGGTTTTGGTCATAGTGATCAGAATAAAAATGTTGTTCGGATTCTCGAGTTAGCTGAAGTTCACGAATTCTACCTGTTGAACACCTAATTCAAAAAGAGTATAAACATCTGATCACGTATAAAAGTGGGATGTCATGCAACAACACAGACGACTCAAAAACACCAAAGTCATTCCAGGTGAAGCATGCATCACGCAGCATTGACTTTTTATAGCTGATATGATCGTAGAACGTTCGCGTTTTGTGACAGGTCGAGCACCACGTAAAATGAAGACGTGGAAATTGAAAAACTCCATGTTTTAAGAAAGATTCCAAGATTTGGTAACAGCACAGCTAGATCATTAAATGCAAGCAGGCATAACTTTGAAATTTTTCCAGGCTGTTCTGATAAATGCTGCCACAACGGTATGTGGGAAATCCTGTGTGAGACGTCAACACGATCGCGAAACTTGGTTGTAGGAGGAAGCGGTAAAAAAGGCTATTGCCAGTAAAAAAAAGTTGCATTCAAACAACGGCAGAAAACAAAAACTGTTGAAGATTGGAAAATCTACTGTATGAGGAACACGGGAGCAAAATGTCAAGTCGCGGTGGCTTGTGCTAATCAATGCAGGGAAGGGCTGTCAACACGCAAGGATGAACAAATAGGGTCACTCTATCGAATAGCTAAACAAACCAAACGGTTGAAAAAGTATATAGTCGGTGCCGCGTATATTAAGGATAAAAGTGGTACCATAATAACTTCATAGAATGAAGTGAAAGAGCATTCATAGGAAGGACTATTTCCATCGTCAGTTGAATGAAACGATCCCTATTAAAGTAGGCTTTGATGCTTTGCCAGTTGAAGGCCCAATTCATGACATTACAGCTGTTGAGCTTGCAGATGCTCTGAGGGCTATGAAGGATGGTAAAGCGGCTGACTCACAAGCGACATCATCAGGGCATCCGGTGAAGCGGGTTTTTTGGCTATTACACATCTGAGGATATTGCCTTGACGGCGGCGTCAGAACAGGATGTTTAAGGTGTGGAATGCCCAGCTCGCCGATCACGTTCTCAAGGTAAATCTTGATAAGACAAAAGTGGTGACCACTGGTGAATCCACTGAACCCGTAAACACTGGTCACTGGCCGTGTTTGATCTGCAGAGCTGGAGTGGGAAGCATTTGATTGAAATCAAATGCATACGATGTCTGAAATGGTGTCACAAACGCTGCCCAAAATATAATGGTTCGCTGACGAAGGTGGTCGATTTTATCTGCCCCGCCTGCATCAATCTGCGACAGCAGAGTCCGCGCGGTAACACGATTGGAACAACCGTGATAAAAACTGTTTCATCGTTCCAATACCTGGGGGATGTACTCTATTGCTCTGGAACACCTGAGGCCGCCGTTCGTGCACGTATACTTGCAGCGTGGTGCAGATGGCATCTTGCCTAGGTGCTGATGCGGCGCGGCATTCCACTGTCACTTCGCTCAGAGTTGTTCAATTTAGCGATACGCTCCGTGTTGATGTGTGATGCAGATGCGTGGCTAATGACAACAAGACTCGAGCAGTAACTTTACCGATTCGATGGATGCAACATGTAAATCTGAAGGACCATATTCATATGACCGAAATCTTGAGCTGTGAAGGATTGTGCGCCCTAAAAGATGAATGTCGACGTAATCGTCTACGTTGGTTTGATCATGTCAAGCGAAGCGAAGATGGGACATTAATCTCTATCTCGGTCATCATGTGGTACCCAACCACCGGGTTATCCAAAGAAATCTTAGATGCAAACAATACAGGTAGACCTGAAGACACTAAATTTCAGGGAGTTGGACGCAAATGATCGAGAAGCTTGGAGACAGAAATTGATGTCAGGAATACAAATGTTCAATCCGAAACGGAAAAGGACTATAAATAGGATTGATTAGAAGTCTTCATTTCACCCTTGCACAATAGAAAGTATTATTCCAAATAAAAGTTCTTGTTTCGAAGGCATTTTTTTTCAGGATTTTAAAGTGATTATTAATAATCAACTTAGTAGATGTGATTAATGTTTGTATTTGATTTATTGCTGTCATTTTATGTTGGCTTGCCTGTCCTTGCCGAACATGTATTTCTACCCCTTAAAACAATGAAGGTGTGGAATGTTAAGAATCAGTAATAGTGGAAGTGATTAATATCTTTTGTTTAATTTTATTTTCATATCAAGGGAGAATCTTAAGTTACTGGTGCTTTAGCCCTGGTTACACTATGGCTGACCTCAAGGATCATGGTGTTAGAGTTATTTTATTGACCTCTGGAACATTATCACCTTTAGAATCATTTGTGTCTGAATTTGGCATGTTAGTTTTTGCTGATTTTTTTATAGTGACATTCTATATAAACATATTTTCCAGTTTTCAAATTAACTGCTGAATTTAATTTAGTCAGCTCTAACACTTCATCCTATGTTTATTTATTTATTGATTACATTTTTTCAATGTTTTCTAGAGACATCAACAAGTAACACACACAGCCTGTAAATACTAGTAAAACAACGCATTACACACACTGCATAATAGTTGGCCAGGATCTTTTTGCATCGAATCCGGTCACTGCCAAGCACTTTACCGTTACACCATCGAGCCGCAACATGTGTTTAAAATTGAATTATATGTAGTTAACATATATATTTATTCGTTATTTAATTATACATTATTTTGAATCTAGTGATTTCCCAGTGCAGCTGGAGAACCCTCACGTTATTGATAGCAATCAAGTTTGGATTGGAAGCGTCGAAAAGGGTCCTGATAATGCAATTTTGTCATCCACATATGAGATGAGGTTTTAACGTCCAATTGATCTATATTATAGTTTTTATCATTGAGTATCGTTTTCATAGTCATTTAAACATTTATTTTAATTAAAAAAGATGTAGCTAATTTTTTCGTTTTCAAGTTCGTCAAATATTTTACTATAAATTATATGGTTGCACCGGATAGTACTTTTTGATATCCGGCCGGAACAGGAGCCGGATGTAGCCGGTTAGGAAAAACTGATATCCGGTCAACGCTGGAGCCTGATATTGACTAAAAAATTGCGCGTTTTAATAGTTAACATGTATACACCAAAAACTGTTTAAATTATTACTGTTTAACCTCTGAAATTATAAAACTGAAATATTTACAAACACATATGTTTTTCAAAAAGTTATATTAAAATTGAATTAATTTTTTAATATATTAGTTTTTCTGCATTGCTTGTTCAGTTGTCATTGATAACTTGGCCACGTGTTTGTTGCGTTAATTAGTGGAAGCAAAGGTATACTCTGTTGCTATCAACCTATAGCAAGCTGCACGCAAATCGTTATTTGCATATGCATTGATAATGACCAAACTTACCGAATCTACCATTAGTCTGTCTTTGTGTGTTAATGATCGTATAAATAATATATATATATATGAACCATCCAGGTCAAATGTAACAGACATTAATTAACGCATGTCTACTCGTCTACTTTATACTTGTTAAAATAAATGTAAACACTGTATATTTTACTATTTTAATAAATGTAGACACTATATTTTACTATCCAGCAGTGATATCCGGCCGGAGCCTAATATGGGCCGGAGCCGAATATGGCCGGATAGTGAAAAATAACCGAATATTTGACCGGGGCTGAAGCTCCGGTGCAAGCCTGATTTATTTATTGCTTAATTATTCAATTGCCTACCGTTTCTTGTTCATTTCAAAAATTAAATGTTTTTACGCGAAAGTTTTCAAGAGTGCTTTATTGTCTACTGATTCGTTTAAATGCCGTTTTCGTTTTATTAATGGCTGGACCTTGTAGTCATCAACTAACCACAGGACTACCTTTTTTGTAATTGTCAAATTCTTTTCTGAAGATTCGAACAATTTCAAAAGTGAATTGTATATTTTAGACGATAAAGTTTGAAGTTGGGCGTTATATTTGTTTAGACATTTTTATACGAATCCCTATAGTTCCATCATATTTCCGGTTTGGAGAGAGGTCAAATTAGCAATAATTTCTCTATACTCAGCACGAACATCTGGTTTTTGGCTTGAATCTTTTTCTAGAAATTACCTGACTTCATTCATATTTCAACGCTCTAGCTTCATTATCGCGAGCAGACCGTCGGGTAATGGAGAGACTTTCTAAATTAAATGAGTTAGATCCTTGTTGTATGTCTTTTTTGGAAACTTCCCATCGGACAGTAGAAGCACTGAAAAAGTTATAAACATGTCGGATCAACCAACAAAAATTGCAAGCTTTTGCACAGGACTCAGCTATATTTGTGCCAACAAGGTTAAATGAGTGAACTCAGCATGGTATTAATAAAACTTGATGATTGACTTTCTAGATGCGCGCCTGAAGTCCTGAATACTTTCCAGCCATGTTTGAAGCGTTATCCTAGTATTTTCCGAGATAGTTTTGAAGATCCACGTTTTGTGATTGTAAAAAAAAGATAGTGCATTAAACTGGTTTTGATATTTGTGGCCAGTGTTTGGTGAAAACGCCAAAACGCTTCGTAAGGCATTTGCTTTTTTGAAAGTATCTGAGTACCACGGAAAGTTGACAAACTTCTACTGTCAAGCGTTGAGTCGACAATTAATCAATATTTGCTACTTTATATTTGGTTGACGAATTCATATTGGCGAGTTTAAATTAATTAAAATTAGAAACCATTATTTTTTGAGTGAAGTAGAAATTTCAATAATAATTTTTATTAAACTTGGTCATTTAAAAATCTGGTTTTCAAAATTTGCCGCCTCACAAAATTTGCCGCCTCAGGCCGGTGCCTATTGTGCTTGTGTTTAGATCCGCCACTGGCATCATTATCATAAGCGTTTAAAAAGTATGTAGGAAAACTGGTTGAAATTAGTAGGTGCCAAGACGCAGCTTCGAAGGTTGATGCATCCAAGTTGCTTTTCTTGATATTGTTTTTGAAGGTAGCTGTAAAAACAAACCAAACGCTTTGTATAGGTTAAGAAACATGCCATGCCTGCTTATGACACCAGCCTTTGCAGTCTTTTTCCAACTCTAGCGTTGAGGAGTTGTTATGTGAAACCACTAATTTAAAGGTGGCACAAAGACAAAATGAGTCATTGGCCAGAAATTATATATAATTAGCTCATTAACGCCAAAAGGAATTTCAAAGATTTTTTGCAAAATGAAGTTTGAATGACAAAACCAGCATCACTTAAGCGCATTTTTTATTTCTGGCTTTTCCATAAAAATGTGTAACCAGGTTAAACTAGTGTCAAATTTGGTCAGTGAGCCTTCGTCAGGTAGCTGATTCTCAGCGCAGCTTCAACATGAATATGTTTTTAAATATAAAAATATTTCGTCTGAGTCTGACTTATCTGGCTCAAGTCTTATACCAAAAAAAACCAGAGTCCGTAAAAACCGAATTTTTTAAATTCTCCTTATGTTAAAAAGTTGACTTTTGTTGAATATTATCTAAAAATCGGCAATCTAATAATAAAATCTTTTGACTAATTAAAAATACAACAGATTCAAGAAAGAATATTTAATTTCCATTGGAAACACAATAGGTTGTTTATATTTTTCTAAAATGTCACTAATGTAGTTTTTTAAGGTTATTTTTTAATGTAAATTGTACATAAAAATTATTTCAATATCAAAATCTTATTTTTTATATCAATCTATCAGCGTATTATATTCTAACAACAAATGGTTCAAAAGTTTTCATGGTTTTTTTTAGCAAATTCGTTTATATTTAATGTTAACGATACAATTAACCCTGCGATGACGCCCACTCCAACACTACGCCTTTCCTCATTCCGTATACCATATCCCCACCCCTCCCCATGTACACCTTTATATCCGTCTGCATCCGCCCCCACATGACCATTCAAATCACCCAACAACACCACAAACTCATCCAACCCCGCTTGCCCACTCTCGTCAGAAACATCATCATAAAACCTATCCTTCTCCTCTTCCTACTTTGTTGCGGAGCATATCCTGATATTACCCTCACTATTACCTTTCCAAACACCATCACCACACCAATTACACCATTGCTTTTCCGCCTTACTTCCAACACCTTCTCTACCAACTCTTTTCTTACCATCACACCAATTCCTCCCGTACCATCATCTCCCTTCCACCACAACTTATACCTTCCACCTTTAGCCCTCACAAACTTTGTACATTTTCCCTTCCATCTAATCTCCTGTAATGCAGCCACGTCAACTATTCTCCTCTGCAACTTTTTCACCACTTCCAAACTCCTTCCTGTCAGCGTGCCTACATTCCAGGTACCAAACCTCCAACCCCTTGGTCTTCATGTAATCTTTCCATCCATAGTGCCTTGCACCGCCACACTATAGAGTGGGGTGCCAGTAGCCAGACCATCCACAGGGTCTTGCACCACAACCCCACGGGCTGGTTCTCCGGGGATTCTTCGCACCCTCTTCTGCTGGAAACTGAGGGCCATTGTTACTTTTGTCATCATAAATATTTTATTGGCTAATTTTTACGCAGGATGCCCTTCCTTACGCAACCACAGTTAAAAACAGTAGGCCTAGCCTTTGATGATCCAACATCACTCACAAGGGAGGACCTATAACCAGGACATCATTATGGAAAGCAAACATAAAAGATAGAACATCCCTGCCTTTTGGTGTAATAAATTCAACTGGAAGTTTTTTTTACTTTTTCTTACTGTCCCTATTAAAGTAAGCTTTTCTTTTTTCATCATCTGGATAAGAGAAAAACTTGTGAAAAAGTTATCACGTATAATATTTTTTCCAGAATCTTTTAATTTTTCTGATAAATCTAACAAAACTCTTTGAGCCTGATCTTTTTTTCTTCATTTGATTTTCTACCTACATATGTAAATTTGTAAACGAGTTACATAGTAAGTTTGACAATTACTCATCAACCGAAACTTTAAGCTATATTTTCTAGGTTTACTTGGAATATATTGCTTGAAAAAACAATGTACTCTAAAAGTTAGGAGTTGTTCGTCAATAACGACATTTTCATAAGGAATATATACATCCTCCAATGTCTTTTCCCACATTTCAAACAACTCTTATGGAACTCAATTTGTGTTCACTTTTCTTTTGCCTTCGTTTTATGCATCATCAAACCTCAAAGCACTATTTATTTGTTTGAATCTATCCCTTGGCATGGCTTTATTGAATAATGTGCGTTCACGTTTTTTGTTTCAAAATTCATTGACAGCTTCATTTTTGCTTTTGTGTATTTGTGTACTCCAGAAAGAATAAGCAATCCAATGTACCAAAAAAATTCTTTTTATCAAACTCCTTCAAATTAAAAATCTGCTTTTCCTCTCCTTCTTTATTTGTCAATTTCAAAATGTTTTCAACTATATTATCTCTAAAAAAAAAGCTGAAATGAAGAAATAGGGCTGTCTACATTTTTTCTAGCAAATCTTGTTGGACCGGGCTTCTCGTGAATTACATTCATCTTACCACGCCTTCTACATTTGTTGTAAAAACTGGTTCATTTTGTCCACATTTAGATACACATTTTTTTCCCATTATTATTGCTTTCATCAGAAGAGCCTAGATCTGAATTAGAAATGTCATTTTGTACATCTGAAAGTATTATATATTCATATTATTGCTATTTGATACATTATTTGAAAAATTGTATTTTTTATCTTATCTTACTTGTACTCTGAAGTGTATATTCTATTTCATCATCATCGACTTCAACGAGAAGAGGTTCATTTCTTTCATCATTAGTAAGTTCTACATTCGAATAATCAGTAATTTCTTGCTCACTAAAACTCTTTGTAACTAAAATTACCAATTATCAATTTTTTGGCTTGCTATAAAGTAAATCTTTCAGAATACGCCATTTTAGCTAATTGTTTGAAAAAAGTGTTGGGCTGCTTGTGCCAAAGATTTGAAAAGTTTGACAATAATTTTCATAGCTAATAATAATACAATCAAATAAAAATAGTAACATTAAAATTTGATTGTTTTTCATTATTTACATAATTAAAATATTTTAAAAAGTTATTTTAATTTGGGGTGAAAATCAACCTCAATCGTCCTAGGTGCTATATGCATTCAATACTCTCTAGCGTTATATTTTTGTCAAATTTTAGTTGTAAATCAACAGAATAGATGATTTTAGGAAAAGTTATAAAAAGAAAGCCAAACTTTTGTGTATTTTTTTTTCATGCTTAGAAAGTAGCTCTGGAATAGATTTTTACCCCAGCCATCATCGTAGGGTTGAACAAAATTATCAAATGCGATTGCTTATTTGTTGTTAACTGGTCATAAACAACACTTTATAGTTAACTTCAATCGTATCGTTCCTATGGGACTACTCATATTTTTTCCATCGTACGTAGTCATGGAAAAATGCATAGACGCTTGGCAGGTTTGTTTGATTGATTTATTTATAATTAATTTTATTTATTTATTTTTTTTTATTTATGACTCAATCACACTCACTTATTTATTTACTTGTTTATTTTATTTCTTATTAATTAATTATTTATTATATTAAGATGAAAATATTCTGGCCATTTAAATTATATAACTTTCCTTAATCATTTATTATTTTTTTATAAATGGATATTTTAATTTAGTTTTTTCATTCTTTTGTGTTGATTTTCAATTTTCACTCGCTTTATTTGCAAATTAGCAGTCCTTACATTAAAAATCATTCAAACGAAATTCCAGCATGACTATATAGTATACATACTCATTTCTTGTCGTAAACTTCGTGGATTTTTGGCAAATTAAAACTTTTGAGCTTGTATGCTAGTTTTTTATATTATTTTTTGTTAATTTCATAAAATTATGAGTTTCATAAAATTATATTATTAAACAATATTTCAATGCAGAGAAATGCAGCTATATACAAAAGATTAGAAGCTACAAAGAAAATTTTCATTGAACCAAAAGATAAATCAAAATTTTCAACGACTATGCAGGAATATTATGATTCTTTCAAAGATCCAAAAAATGCGGGGGCAATATTTATGGCTGTATGCAGAGGAAAGGTGGGTTTTTTGAATATAATTATCGTCATTAAGTCTGATTTTTCTTAATTTATCATCCTTATATATTTGTTTTTAAGATGACTCCGATTGAATTTAATTCAAATTTGTAAATAATTTTAATTAAGAGGAAAAATTTTTGAATTAATTTATAACACTTTCATATTATCAAGTTAAATTGTTAATAAAACTACGTTTTTGAATAGCTGTACTGTTTCACTTGTTAATATAATTAATTAAGGTGAGTGAGGGCTTAGACTTTTCAGATAATTATGGAAGAGGAGTGGTTATTACAGGACTTCCCTATCCACCTAAAAAAGATGCACGAGTCATGTTAAAAATGCTGTTTCTTGATGAAATTAGAAAAGCTAATAGAATGGTATTGTTTTTTTTCATGTTCATCACTTTATTGTTTTATATTGAGGGAAAATTTTGGAGTAAACCCATTAAAAATTATTCAACATGGTTTAAATTACACAAATTTTGTCTGAGAAATAGTCTGCCGATGGCGAGATTTTTTTTTAGTCATAACTCACCATCGGTTCCATCGCGGGAAAAATTTATCGATAGATGATTAAAATTTTTTAGACTGAATTGTGTGTTTGGGATGTTTTCCTTGGTTCTAAACACCCGGAAAAATACCTTCCAGACAAAAACACTTTGGAAATAAACGTCTAAAGCAGGCAAAAACCTCTCGAAAGAAAATCCTTGAACAAAAATCTCCTTGACAAAAACTCCTTGAACAAAAAACCCGGACAAAACCCCCCAAAAAACCCCGGACAAATATTTCTCGGACAAAATCCCCCCGTGCAATAATCACCTCAAGCAAAAAACTCCCCGGACAAAACCTCTGTACAATATACCCCGAAACAAAAATCCTCCCAGGACAAAATCCCTGTGTAATACACCTCCTTAGCAAAAATATGTAACCCCCGATAAATATATAGACCCTCGATAAATGGTCCAAAAGTAAACAAAAATTATAGCTACAAAGTGTTTCGGTTCTCTTTTCCACTGTGCGCTTTTTTGTTGTAAGTTTTTTCGGAATTTTCTCTAGTGTGCAGTTTTTGTTCCGAGGTTTATTGCACACAGGGTTTGTCCGGGGGTTTTTGTCTGGTCACCGTTTTCATTCACAGTTGAAACTTCTGCGAGATGAACAATCACTGTATAATCACTGGGCGGCGTGATGGCTCAATGGTTAAAGGCGCCTGGTCTTGCTATTGCTATGACTGGGTTCGAATACAAAGAGATCCCCGCCTGTCATATGCAATATGTATGATGCGTGGTTTGCACGCGTATTCATATACGCTGTGTGTGTGTCGTTGCGTTGAAACCTCTGAAGCAAACGCAAAAGAGAGAGAGAAACCTTTAACCTCTATAAGAACTATTTGCCAAAAATTCATCGCTAGAAGATTAAAAATTTATTGGCTACTATTATTTGATTGGGGTGTTTTCATTGACGTTTTAAATATTCTTTTGTATTTTTAATAAATTTTCGTTTTAATACTTTTCTGACAATATGTCTCTCGAATATGTGATAAACAAAAAAGGAAAGAGAAAATTAGTGGGCAATTGTCACACATACGTCAAGGATAGAGCTAAAGATCATAAAATTTTATTGAAATGCAGCGTGTTTTAAGGTACCCATTGTCGAGCCCATTCAGACGATACTAAAATTTTAAAAGGGATAGGTGAGCATAATCATGTTGCAAATGTTACAAGAATTTAAGCAGTGAGGGTTTTGTCAATATGATAAAAGGTGAAGCGAAAAATGCCACTCATCGGATAATTACGGATGCATCCAGTCGTTGGTCAATAGCCTTCACCTATCACATTAAAGAAAACGGTTCGCAAAGCTAGACAGAGGCTGAATCGTTCTTCAAAAATCCAACTTCACTGGTAGAACTTAAGATTTCTGCCGTTTATCAAATTACACGTGCTGGCGATCACGTTCTTTCGCACGATAACAACGATGGCCCAAATCGGATTCTCATTTTTTCCCACACAAAGAAATCTTCAACTTCTCTCTAGTTCGGCAAATTGCTACGCTGATGCAACTTTCAAAACTGTGTCGCCATTGTTCATTTAACTATACACAATTCATGGTGTCATCTCTGCGGTTTTTGCACTATTACCATCAAAAACGGAAGAAATTTATCATCGTTTCCTTAATCAACTTATTTGCTTTCGGCAAAATTTTGCTGCAGCTTCGATTATGACTGACTTCTATTGATGCTTTTGACACGTTCCCAGCTTCGAGACAAAAAGGCTGTTTTTTCCGTTTCTGCCAGTGCATTTGGCGTAACATTCAATCTAATGGTCTTCAACGACGTTATGAAACAGACGTTGAATTTGCTTTAAAGATGCGGATGCTTTCGACTCTTGCCTTTGTACCTCCAACTGATATTGTTGAAAAGTTTGAACGGCTATCAGGAGAATTTTCAGCTGAAGGAGTACCAATCATAGATTACTTTGAGGACACATGGATTAGACGTGCAAATCGTCGTCAAAGAGGCCTCTCTGTTTTCGATACGAACTATGGAATTGTTATTATGATGTATTAATGGGCGCTTCCAAAACTAAAAATTTTTGCGAAGGATGGCATAGAGCCTTTGGCGAATTTATTGGTGCTAGTCACTGGACTGTTTGGAAATTTATCAATGGCTTAAAAAATGAACATGTACCAAACGAAGAAAAAATTGAATTGTGTCTTGCCGGTGGAGACCGCCTTGCAGCAAAAAAGTGCTAAAGCGAAAAATTTTTTCTGTGAATAAATTTCGCTGTGAAAAATTTTCTCTGCAATGAATTTTCCCTGCAAAGAATTTTCTCGCGAAGAATTTTCCGGACACCCTCATTATGTAATCGTCTCCAAAAAAAAAACAATTCGGGTTAAGTGCTTTAATCAGCTATAGGTTTAGAAGCAGATTCAAAACGACGACTACTATCCGAATGGCTTTTAGACTGACTTCTATGGAAGACAAAACTAAATAACTGGATAATAAAATTCTTAGCGGCAAAAATGGTTTGGCTTAAATACGTCAAAGGAAAAATCAAAAATTAGCGTAAATTATAAATATGGATTCAGCGGCATTTATAAGAGGGCACTAACTAAAGTGGCTCTCTGCCCCAAACGCTAGGTCAAGGAAATGAATGAATGAATAAATGAATGAATGAAACCTTTAAATAATTTATGAATTTGCATATTTTATTTGGTTTTATATTTCAATTGGATATCCATGGTCCTATAATTTAATTAATAACTTACAGGCCATATCAGGACAAGAATGGTACAACCAACAAGCATGGAGAGCTGTAAACCAAGCTCTTGGTAGAGTTATTAGACATAGAAATGATTTTGGGGCAATCATGCTTTGTGATATCAGGTATTTCCCTACAGTTTAAAAAAAAGTTTGATTGTTTAGTTCTCAATCGCTTACCAGAATATAAAAATGCTACTAATTTAAGTTCGGATGTCAATTATAAATTAATGAAATTATTGTTCAACAAAACTCTTTTCGTTAAAAATTTCCATGCGTTTGCTTTGTTATCAGTCTTGTACGCCAGCTTTTGGAAATATTTAATTTTTCTTTTTCACTGATTTTTTTATTATAACTTGGTTTTGTTACGTGTTAGTCTGTTTTCAATTGGCCTTAATCCTCATTTTCTGAGCCAATTACTATTTCAAGTTCTGACAATGGTTTTGTCGTTTTTGTAGTGTTTTTTTTTTATTTATTAGTAAAATAATTAATTTCTTTTATATTTGATTGAAGTTTTCTAGTTTTTCAATGTTTTATAAGTTCCTGCTAACACTCCATATCATTAAAGAATTTGATTTAAAGTCTTCTAATTAGAAATTACTATTTCAAAAATTCGTCTTTTTTTAGTAATATAAAAAGAGCTATAGAAATTATTTTTTTAATGCTAAATTTTATGCCGTCAGATAAACAGACTTGTTCGTTATTTTTATATCTTTATTTTATTATGGAAAATGATTAGAAATGGGGAAAGGCTTTTGGAAAAAAGATCGTAGTTGGATTAGAAAAGTTTGAATATTTTAAAAAATATCATCAAGATGTATTTAAGTGAAGTGTGTTAAAAATGTGTTTTCTTGAAATGTTTAATTGTTTAAATATGGATATAAAAAATAAATCTGAACTGGAAAATGGTCACGTTCATTCCTGAGATTAATGATAAATAAATAATGATAATTAACATTTTGATTGCAATGTGGTAGAGATTGGATTGTTTAAAATGGATTGGCTAAAAAATACCAATCAATTAATTTGAAAAAATTGACTAAAGATTTGAGATTATCACAGATAAAGAATTATCACTTGATAGAATTTTGTGTGCTTAAGTTTTTTCAGTAGAGTAGTCGATTTGAGCTTATGACAATGGACAGTTGAAAAGGTGTTGAGATTGCTAAGGTTCCCGCGTTAACGCCGTGCTGCCAACATTGCTTGGTCGTTGCACTAAATACCGAGCAAGCGTCAAAGTAAATAGCGATGCACTCTCTCACTCGGGTTTTTGCCTAAATGTAATGTTTTGAAGGTTAGTGAAAGAAAACTAAGCGAGAAGTCGTCGTTGAAATTTTATGTTAAAAAATGACTTAATCGATAGCATAGGACAGGGTTAGGGACGTATAAAAAAGTGAGATAATAGTGAAATACACCTCAATAAACAAATAATTGAAATCACACTTTTTTGGTCTCATATATTTTAACAATTGAAGATATATTTTGTTTTCATTTTATATAATTAAATTAAATTTGTTTTTACAAAAATTGTAAATCCTGTCCTGGTTATGACATTAAACTGACCCTCACTGCCTTGTGAGTGATGTTGGATCATCAAAGGCTAGGCCCACCGCTTATAACTGTGGTTGCGTAAGGAAGGGCGTCCTGCGTAAAAATTAGCCAAATAAATTATTTATGATGATAGAAGTGACAATGGCCCTCAGTATCCGGCAGAATGGCGTCGAGGGGTATTTCGGTTTCATCATAGGTAGCCAAACGGCAACCCCCGATCTCGGGGAAAATGTCGTCTAAACGTGTGTTGTTGTTGTTGTTGTTGTTGTAGAAGTAAATCATTAAACGATTAACAGCCAACGTTGTTAAGTAACTGACTAAAATTATCTATAAAATAATATTGCGGTGGACAAAATTTGGAATTGGATAATTTATTCTGAACCCAGTTTTTTAAATACTGATCATTTGAGAATGATTCTTGAAAATTTATAACATTTTTTGTTCTTATGTTATTTCATTCAAAAAATATTTCAAATTATATATAAGATTCAGAGCAGTTCAAGACCAACTTCCGATATGGCTGCGATCTGTCGTGAAAAGATATACCAGTTTTGGCCTAATTGTAAAAAATTTACTATCGTTTTTCAAATTGCATGAATCAGAGGTTAGAACGAATAAACTAACTTTTTGTTTAATTTAATTTGTTTCATTTTTTTCTTATTGAACACTTTTAACATATATTTTTTTAAGATCAATAAAATAAAGCAAGCCAATGTACAACAAAATGGAAATGAAGGAACATATTGCAAAACCGTTTACACCAAACTATACAGCTCTCCAATTTTTTCTGAATATGTTAAAGGTATTGGAATTGAATTGAATAAATTACCAAAGGCTTCCACAGTGAACAATCACTATTTTTCTGATAGCGGTATGTTGATGAAATATTCTTTTGTTAATATTCGCAATAATTGCTGTGGTATGTTGATAATAAAATTTTATCATAGATATAAAAATTGATTTTGATTATTATTAATTTCGTTACTTTTAATTATTTTATAGCAATGAGTCGAATTTATTTTTACACATTGAAATTTTTCGATGAACTCCTACAGCAAAGACGTCGCCTAAGATTAAAAGATGAACTGAGTTGAAGTCGATGAATATACGACTGGTCCAACTAAATTTACAAAATAGATATGGCGTTTAAACAAGGCAGTTAAATGTTAAACGCCTACATTTTTGGTAAAACGGTCGATATTTATGTAGGACCAAAGCACTAAACTGAATCCAGTGGCCAATCTAGTAATCACTATCCATTTAAATCTAACCCACAGAAGACATTTATTAAGTAGAGTTCTATTTTGTGTCGCGCTCCATTCAACGTTTTAAACAATCTTCAACAAACAAAACAAATAATTTTAACGCAAAGGTTGATGCAGATGTCACTGAAAATGCTGACCCATGCTATGGAGAACGCAATGATCAAGAACAGTTATAGAACGAATTCTGTTTGTGGTTACCAATACACTTATTTATCTACACACGGAAAAACTCGAAAAACTATAAAAAGTCGGGATTGACTGTATACTGATTCTACGGAATTGGAGATGTTTAGTATATAATGATTTCAAAAACTTCGGTGTCGACTATGATTATAATCACATATTGGTACTTCTATCAATAAAAAGGAATCACGGGAAAAGGAAAAATGAACTAAAAAAAATGGGTGATAGAATAAAGACATGGAATAAAAAACTAACTAAAACTAAAGAAATAAAAGATTAAACCGGATTTAAAAGGCGATTAGATAGGATTAGGTCATTAATATTTTCAACTCAATATTAGATAGTGCAATAAAAAATGAAAACATCGGTTGAATTACTAAAAATTAATATTGTAGGCTAAACAATAAATGATCTCGGTTTTCTGATGATATTGATCTGACAAAAGGAGAAACAGAAATTATTTCGGAAACCAGGCCATATTTTAAGTAGAATTTGAAAAACTGGTACTAATCGATCAGTTTGTGTGCTTAAAACCAGTAACAATTGCCTAAAAGAAATTTACAAAAGAATAGCTATTGCATTCCCAAATAATTTGGATAAAAAATTGAGAACTGTTTTAAAGCAAATCCATAATAGTATGTATATCTATCGAAACAAAGTTGAAAATAAAGAAAATGTAAAAGTCTCTTAGACATGCTTAATTAATACCTAATGACATGCTAATTGAATGGTTGTTAATGCCGGGGGTGGTAATGGGGATAAGCTCCCACCATCTATAAAATGCTCCAATATGGCAAGCGTCTCAAAGAGCCTCTGACAACCAAGCCCAACTCCTGGCCTTCACGCGGCAGAACTGCTTAAACTAACAGGAAAAGGGGCGAAGGCGAATAACTGGCGCCATAACCAGTTGCTTCGGGCAGGTGAAGCTCGTTAGCCTTGGTCGGCTATTTACCTAGGAGAAGGAAAACTCTGACTTCAAACCTCTAACCCCATCACCACCCCCGGCATTAACAACCATTCAATTAGCATGTCTAACCCTTGCGGCATACCTGTTCATGGGAAAGGCTATGGGAGCAAATCCAGACAGAAAACCACACTCCACCACCTGAGTTGCGGTCCAGTAATATCAGGTGCCGGTCCAAAGTCCGGATAGAAAGGAATGGTTGACAGGAGCTTGCTACACTGTCGTAAAAACGCTAATAACACGATGGTAGTCCAAAAAAAGTATGCACATACCGACTCGGACGTCACCCGGGTGAACAAGGTCCGCGCTGCAGCTTTGGGGACTAGAGGCTGCAGTGTAAAGTATGCTATTGAGTCCCAGAAAGATAGACTGAAGATGGGGTTGACAGTTGGAGTTTGGAATGTCAGGTCATTGTGGCAGACAGGGGCTTACGCGTTGATGAAGAAAGAACTTGAACGATTCAGATATGCTGGGGTTGGTCTGTGCGAGGTCCGATGGACAGGAGGTGGAGAAATGGAAGGTGGGAAGATATTATGGTCTGGAACAGAGAGGGAGCACGTCTATGGAGTTGGAATGGTTATTGGCGAAAAAGCAAAAAAAGCAATGTTGGAGTACAATCCAGTGAATGAAGAATGATGTATGCGAGGTTTAAGGGATACCCGAGAGACATTGATGTGGTAGTGGCCTATGCTCCAACAATGGATCACTTGGATGCAGAAATCGAGGCATTCTACGATCAACTGGAGCAAACATTGAATGTACTGCCAAAGAAAGATGTTAAGATAATCGCCGGAACGCAAAGATCGGAAGAGACAATATTGGTTTTGAAGAAGTCATGGGAAAATACGGTATAGGAAACAGAAATAATAGAGGACAAAGACAGCTGGAATTTGCAAAAGACCAAAAAATGTATATAACAAAACACAAAATACAAAAAAATGGACATGGGAATCACCAGATGGAAAAACAACGAACATGATAGATTTGATTTTGATAGAACAGAAATGGATGAAATTTGTTACTCAGTGCCGTGCTTTTCCAAGTGCAGAGATTAGATCAGATCATCGTCTAGTGTTATTCAACGTCAAGATGAAAATAACGAAGAGACTAAAGTCAGGCGAAAATATCAAAAGAGTGAAATATAGCACAGAAATGATAAAAGAGAAGTTGAAAGACATCAGAAATGTAATAGAAAACAAATTGGATACAAAAACAAAGTACGATATGAAAACAAGAGTCAGTAACTTGGAGAAAGTGCTTAAGACTGCAGCCGGAAAATGCGAAGTAGGGAAAAACATAATAAAACCCTGGATAAGTGATGAAACTTGGAAACTCGTAGAGGAAAGAAGACAGTTGAAAGCAACAAAAAGACAAAACAACGAAAATGAGATGAAATATAAACAACTGTGTTGCAAAATAAAGAAAAGTACCAGAGCAGATAAAAGAAGATGGATAAACGATAGATGCGAAAGGGTAGAAGCACAAGTTGGACAAAACAAAACAGGAGAGGCGTATCAGCTAGTCAGACAGTTAAAAGGAAAACTGAAGAATACGTCAAGATTTATTAAAGACAAGGATGGAAATGTTCTAACTGAAGGCCAACAAATCAAAGATAGATGGTCGGAATATATCAAGGACCTGTTCACAGATAAAAACACGTATACAAAGGAGGTGTTACAGGCTTTAAAAGAAAGAAAAGTAGTCAATGAGGAAGAAACGGAAATAACATTGGAGGAAGTAATAAAAGCAATGAAGAAAATGAGGAACAACAAGAGCACAGGGAGAGACGGAATTCCCATAGGGCTGATCAAAGCGGGAGGACCAATTGTATGTAATGAGATTCACAAAATCTGCCAAGAAATCTGGGACAGTGAAAAATGGCCAGAAGATTGGTGTAAATCAATCTTGATCATGTTGCCAAAAAAAGGAGACCTGAAAGACTGCAACAACTACAGATCAATAGCACTGATCCCTCATATGTGCAAGATCATGCTGACGATCTTGAAAGAACGATTGGAGAAAGACATAGAGCAGCATTTAGGAGAGGAGCAGGCAGGTTTCAGAAAGGACAGAAGTACAGTCTAGCAAATCCTGATGTTGAGACTATTGTTGGAAGATGCAGGAAGCAGAGGTCAAACAACTTTTCATTGTTTTGTGGATTTTAAGAAGGCGTTTGATTCAGTCTGGCACGAAGGTTTGTGGGCAGCTTTGGAAATTATGGGAGTGTCAACAAAAATGGTAAGGGTGCTGAAAGGGCTTTATGAGGAGTCAACAATGGCGGTAAAGCTGGGAGACTGGATCAAAGCGAGCATAGGAAGTAGACAAGGAGATCCAATATCACCATTACTGTTCTTAGCACTGTTGGAAAGAGCCTTGGAAAAAATGGAGAATGCAGATATTGAGGGAATCGACATTGGAGGCAGAGTGATAAGGGACCTCAGGTTTGCAGATGATATAGATCTGCTAGCATCTAGTGCAGAGGGTCTACAGAAACTGATCGAGTTGACGTACGATGGTGGAAGAAACCATGGACTACACATCAACAGCAGTAAGAAAAAGATAATGATTTCGGAAGCAGGTGGAAACAATGATGAATTCCAGATAGGAGCAGAAAAGCTCGAACAAGTGAACCAATTTATATATCTGGGCAGCCTCATAACTGATGACAATAATTGTTCGAAAGAAATTGATAGAAGAATAGCAATCGCGAGAGGAATGTTTGCATCTTTGAAAGTAATATTGAAAAACGGTAATGTATCTACAAAAACAAAGGTAAAGATCGTAGAAGCGTGTGTGTTTTCTACATTGATGTATGCATGTGAGGCTTGGACGTTGAAAAAAAGAGACAAAGACAAACTGGAAGCATTCGAGATGCATTGTTATAGAAAGTTGCTGGGAATCAGTTGGAGACAAAAGATAAGAAACGATGCCATAAGAAAACAACTTGGAAGACAAAAAACTGTGTATGAAAGTGTCAAGGAAAGAAAGCTGGGTATCTTTGGGCACATCTGCAGAATGACAGACGACAGACTGATCAAAAAAGTACTGATGAGAAAGAGGGACTGGAAGAAAAAAGTTGGAAGACCTGTGAGGAAGTGGATGGATGATATCACGGAATGGACGGGGGTTGGAACATTGAGCTCAATGAAGATGGCGAGAGAAAGAAAAGGATTTTGGAGAGATAGAAGAATACCATCGGCCTCAACGGTCCCTTAAGGGATTACAGAGGATCATTGAATGAATGAATGAAATGACATGCTAATTAAAACTGTACTGAGTAAGGAGTTAAAAACTTGTCAAGAAATGAATCAGACAGAAAAACAATGACGTTTTTACGTAAAGATCAAATTATGAAAATTGGAAATATTTGTAAAATGCCGGGTGACATGCTTTTTAAAGCGATTATGGAAGCAATCAATCAATCAATCAATCTTCGTTTTGCGTCCAGAGACCCGGTTTCCCGAGGTAGGACGTTGTTTTCTTTGCCATCAATTTTTTGCGCCAAATTAGACGATCAGTTGTATTCATTTCATTTAAATTTAGAGCTTTCATGTCTTGCTCGATTGTTTGCGACCAGGATTTCTTTGGACGGCCTTTGGGACGTGTGCCAGGTACTTCAACATCTGTAAGAGAAGTTATGGCACTGTTTCCACTTCGTTTGACATGACCAAACCACCGCAGACGGTGTTGCCGGCATTCGTCCTTTATATCATCTAAACCAGCACGACGCAGAATTTCGGTAGATTTGATGTGGTCCTTTAGACTAATTCGTTGCATCCATCGAAGCATTTTCATGTCGGTTCGTTGAAGTTGTTGTTCCAGTTTGGTTGTCATTGGCCATGTTTCTGCACCATATAACAACACCGGACGTATCACAGATTTTTAAAGTCTTGATCGTAGTGGTAGTGGGATGTCACGCCGCATCAATATAGAGGCAAGGAGATGCCATTTATTCCAGGCTGCACGTATGCGTGCTCGAACGGCAGCTTCAGCTGTTCCAGTACAATCCAGAACATCCCCTAGATATTGAAACGATGTGACTTTCTCTATTTTAATGACTTCAAAAACAGTGCTATTTCGAATTTGTTGTTATGGATTGATGCAAGCAGGACAAACAAAATTGGACACTTTAGATAAAGTACCAATTATTTTTGAACAACGTTTGTGACACCACTGGTTACACTGCTGACACTTGATTGAATTGTTACCTACACCAGCTTTACAAACTGAACAGGGCCATCGTCCAGTAGCTGTGGATTGGATGGGTTCACCAGTGTTCATTGCTTTGGTTTTGCTGATGTTGACTTTAAAGCGACTATGGAAGCAACGTTAAATTAAATTTAAATTTGACAATTTTATGAAAAGATACTGACTTTTAAATGATGACTGTATTCATTATGTTTATCATGTCTAGCATTATGTTTATCAGAACCAACAACTAACTTGAACTTTAATTTTGCTCTTTTCAAATCCAATTCATTGTTATATTTTTTATGTGTCTATGGTTGCTAAAAATATAACTTAATTAGCAAATGTGAAATATCCTAAAAGTTGGTGACGACAAGCTAATACAAAACATGTATGAAATTGAAGCTGATGAAGATAATGCGACGGTTGCAGAACAAATTAATATTCATCAAACTTTATCGAAAACCTCTAAAAGTCTTATCCCAGCACTTGATGTTATGGAGGTATTTATTATATATTTACTTTTTAATTTGAAAACAGATATTTTCATTAACATTTAAATTCAGTGTCATTAAGCTAATTTTATTTTTGAGTATCTGATGCCAGTTCTGTTTTGGTCTGCACACTGTTTCAGTTTGCACATATACGTTGTCTGAGGTCATTAAGACTTTTTTCGATTCAATGCTTTAATTTAATCAATTTTAGGAAAAACGAAGCGATTGTCTTAAAAAAATTCTCACTTGAACAGTCGTTATTGTTTATCTCAACAAAATCAACGTTGTATCTTGCTATTTATGATTGTTTTACTGATTTTTGCTTTTGAGATCAAGAAACTTGACAATGATTCAATGATTTACGATCTTACATTAGAAAAATCAAAAAATAAGGAAACTATCTAACGCGGAACCTGCTGTGATTTTCATCAATATATATTATTATTATCAACAATTTATTAAGCGCATTATAAAGTTGAAATTTCTCGAAAGCGCTCTCTATTATAAATGAAATCAGTGAAGGTCAATAAAGTACAAATCAATAAAGTATTTCTATGTCAAAATAAATATGTTTTTAAGTTCCTCTTAAAATCATCAAGCTTTAGTCCAGGCATTCTGAGCGATTGCGGAAGACTGTTCCAGGCAATTGGTCCTGACACGGCAATATTTCTAGTTGCAGTTTGTAGTTGAGTTGTTGTCACTGCCAGTAGGTTGGCATAGTCTGATCTCAATTTTACACCTGTTGAAGAAGCTGTTTTTTTTTAAGATTTTATTTGCTAAATATACTGGTAACAACCCGTTCAAAGCCTTATACATAGTCACACAAATCTCTTAAAATGGGTGTCACATGGTCATACTTTCTACGTCCAACAGTTATTTTTGCAGCTCTATTCTGTATTGATTGAAGAAAAGCAATAGATCTCTCTGGTAATCCATTGAACAAGTTATTACAGTGGTCTAACCGTGAATAAACAAACGCATGAATTAGTGTTTGCATGGTTGTTTGATGTAAATATTTTCGAACGCGGTATAACTGGCAAAGCTGATAAGAACATGATTTGGATATGGTTTTTATATGATCTTTGAAAGATAATCTCGAATCAAAAATACACCCTAGGTTTGTGGCATTTTCACAGAATTGTATTTCATTATTATCAATTTTGACTGAATTA